GAATTCACGAACGGTGCTTCCGCCTCGCAAATAAAATTTGGAATTGGAAAGAGGGAAAAGAGTTAGTAAAAGGAAAAATCTTCGATAAAAGTTGAGCCATTTCGAAGACAGAACCTGGGGAACTAAAAATTGTGTTACGAGACAAGCGCTAATGAAAGCGCGTGTACCATTTCCACGGAAGTCACTTATCGGTAAGGAATTAAAGTTGAAAAATTACGAGAACGTTTCGTGGAAATGCCCTGAGAAAATTCTGCGGGGAAATTTTTAAGAAGCCTGACACGATCTCCAGATATTTACACCGATAATATTGGTCGGTTAGTGAAAAGTAAGATTGATGGCAGTGGGTGGTAAATAAAAGGAAAATAGCGAAAATGATTAATGAGAAAATGCAGCAATGTAGAAATTAGGTGAAATTTTTTAAAATGGAAGGAGAAGTAAAGAAGAAAAATCAGAAAAAAGGAGTCAAATCAGGAAATGTAAAGAAAGAAATCTTAAAACGAAAGTGAAAGTAAAAAAATGTGAAAGTGAAAGTCATAAATGTGGAAATGAAAATATAAAATGTGAAAGTATAAAAATGTGAAAGTTAAAGCAAAAAACATAGAAAATGAAGGCAAAGTAAACGTTATAAGTTAATAATAAAAAAGAACGTAAAGAAATTAAATCAATTTAAAAAAACCGAGGTTAAAATAAAGAAAGTGAAAAACAGAGGGATGTGGATGTAAAGGAAAAAATAAAAATAAAAATGAAAGTAAAAAAGAGATAGTGAAAGTGAAAGTGAAAGTGAAACTAGAACTAGAAAATGCAATGAAAGTGAAAGCAAAAAGTGAACAAGGACTAGAATTAAAGATAGCACCAACAAAACGTAAACGTAATTACATTTTAAAAATAGAAAAAATACGCAACTAAAAATGGAAATGACAGAAAGAAAACTGGAAGTAAATACTGCGGTCGAAAGAAAAAAGAAAACATAAAAACATGTGAATAAAAAGGAAGGGAAAATAAAGATACGATAAACAGCAAATGAAAATAACGTAGTTAACACGTGAGGAAATAAGGTGAATATTTAAAAAGAATGTTAAGAAAGAAAAGTCATATATATATGCTCGAAATTAAAAATAAATGACGACAATTTACCCATCGCACCCAGTATATATATAAACCTAGAAAAGTGCGAATATTATATATATATATATATATATATATATATGCGTGTGTGTGTGTGTTTATAAGGTATGACATATAACATAAGTATATAGGACATATGGCATATATATAAGACAATGTCATCACAAGAAATTTATTTTCCCATTTTATCTAACATTTACTCCATATATATATATATATATATATATATATATATATATATATATATATATATATATACACCACTGTGCAAAATAATTGAAACAACAGCGTTAGTTTTCTTTCTTTCACCATACGGTCAGTTTTAGATCCGCCGGAATGACAGGGTGTAATCGATTTCTATTTTTTAACTCAAATTAGTTCATTTAGAGTGGTGTGCAGTAATAAGAATCTATTTTCGGGTGTATGATTTAATTATCCATTGAAAAATATTGCACCATCCGTGATTGCATCAGATTTTTATCACACCCAGACACTATTGTCTTGACTGTCGATTAGTTTTCCTTCTGCCATTGTCTGCGATGGACGTTACTTCAAGGAAGCGTGCGAAAATTGTAACGCTGCACACTGGCATACCTTACCAGTGAGCAAATCAAAGTACTATAGACTGGGCCGGAAACTCTGCTGATTTAAATCCAATCGAGAATCTGTGTTCGATCTGTAAGGGACGACTTCGGGGAATGAAATATACAAAATACTAACATGTGCACTGGGTTATGTTTCCTTGCATAAGGATGTATATATATATATATATATATATATATATATATATATATATATATATATATATATATATGCTAAAATACTCTTTATAGCGAATTGATATATATATATATATATATATATATATATATATATATATATATATATATATATATTATAAAAACTATTTTTGGTCATTTTACTATAAATATGTATTGTTGGTCATTATATATATATATATATATATATATATATATATATATATATATATATATTTCGATTATAGGTGCTGTTCAACTTACAAATATAGAGGTTAATGATTTAAATGGCGAGAATACATCTTCGCAAACAATTTCAATATGTTACACTAACCGCGAACCTGTATACGAATGATATGATCCCTGTTTATAAATTCCAGTTTCATAAGGTCTTTTTTAGTTTTTACAAGCTTTCGTCTGTACCTACAGACATCCTCAGGTATGGAAATATATTTGTTCTTGTTTTTTACTTCTCGGTAATAAGAGGACAACGGAAATATTTCCATACCTTATTGAAATTGTTTGCGAAGATGTATTCTCGCCATTTAAATTATTAACCTCTATATTTGTCTTTGTATGAATGATTCATGTAATATATATATATATATATTGCTGTATGTATGGGTAAAAGTCCTCAATATCAAAGATTGAGCTTATGTAAGTATAAAAGTGGACACTGAGGCCAATACTGAGTGGCAACAGTCTTTTTCTGTCTTAGTGCAATCTTCAGTTCCTCTCTTTTCTACACAAACACACACGCATATATATATATAGATGAGCGTGTATGCGTGTATATATATATATATATATATATATATATATATATATATATATATATATATATATATATATATATATATATATATATATAGGCGTAAACGTATATACATCCAAATATACAAATAAATATATATATGGGGGGGGTGGATTAATTAGTATGTTTCGCTGGCAGAAACTTTTGGCAAGAAAATTAAATCAGTTTTTATGAAAAATATTCTTTTAGTTATTGAAAAAATAATCTCCTAGTGCGCGCGCGGTCAGCCCTAATGTTTAGAAGATGTATACTTTAAAAAAAAATTATACACAAATCAGTCGAATGTATAGACATTCTCCTTAGCTTGTACAAGAAGGAAAGAAAAAGAAACGGAATAGAAAATAGATATTGAACAAACAGTCCCAAATACAAATACAAAAAAAAAACAATAAGAAATTGATATGACTGTCTGATTGATTGCTTTTTTATTTGCAAGCCAATAAAGAAACGAAATGTTTGCATATAAGGCATTCAAATTTGAGTTGGAAATTCGGGGGACGAGCGAGCAACGAGAATTGCTTCTTTTTTTTTCCTTTCATGATTTCGCTGTTTCTCAAGCAGAATGGGACAATTGCTGTTAACTTCAGGAATGGGCAAACGAATAGAGTTCTTTCATAATATTCGCTGTTTAATTGTCTCAGTTTTAAAGATCTTTAACGACATTTCTTCGCTGAGCAAAGAAACGTAAATCAAAGTGCACATACACGTTGAGTTAAAATGAAATTGTAGCAACTCTCGTCGTTACACTGTTTTCTTGAAAACATGAGTTGAACACTTCGTCTTTTTTTATATGTTTGAAAACCTTCTGTTATATAAAAATAATTATCTCTCTCTCTCTCTCTCTCTCTCACTCTCCACACACACATATATATATATATATATATATATATATATATATATAATAATATTATATCGTCCTGGGTAAGTCGTTAAACTACATCCGCGTCCTGGCTAAGACATAAACTACATTTGCTTCCTGGGGAAGGCGTTAAACTACATCCGCGTCCTAAGTAAAACATTATACTGCGTCCAGCAGCAAAAGGCCTCTGATCAGGACGTTTTGAGGAGCGTGGAACCACCTCTTAATTGCTGGTGTTTCCAGATCCACCCTGACCCAGGATGGTAGCACCTGTTAGGGTCCCAGCTATGGGCAAATAGTTAACTATTACCAGCAATACAATTTTGAAAAAGATTATTGCCAGCAATACAATTCTGAAGGAAATATATTACCAGAAACAGATTTTTGACAAAACAAAATAAAGATTTTTGACAAAACCAGCAATAAATTTTTTTGTCAGCATTAAATAACCCATTGAGGTTGATATGTCGTAAAACAAAATAAACTAAACCAATCTAAACCAAAGAATACATATTCTATTCATACTAATCTATCCTAAAAATGTTGTTGGCATTAAATAACCCATTGAGGTTGATATGCCGTAAAACAAAATAAACCAAACCAATCTAAACCAAAGAATACATATTCTATTCATACGAATCTATCCTAAAGATGTTGTCGGCATTAAATAACCCATTGAGGTTGATATGCCGTAAAACAAAATAAACCAAACCAATCTAAGCCAAAGAATACATATTCTATTCATACGAATCTATCCTAAAAATGTTGTCGGCATTAAATAACCCATTGAGGTTGATATGCCGTAAAACAAAAGAAATCAAACCAATCTAAACCAAAGAATACATATTCTATTCATACGAATATATCCTAAAAATCTTCTCGGCATTAAATAACATACACTGCCCGTCCACGTACACTGTCGGCTGCATCCTCATTCGCTTTATATTTCATTGGTAAAGAAGAAATTCCACTCAGCTTTTTCCCTTAACAGACTGGAGTTCGAACCTGGCTCGACCAAGTTTGGGTTCTGAGCATCTGGCCTGTTCATCGAATACGGACACTACTTGAAGGAAAAGACCGCCACCAGGCCGCCTTTTTGCCCATTCAGTTTCAGATGTGATTGCAGACGATCAATAGATTGGCCGAAAAGCTCGGGTTTAAAACAATAGCAGTAGAGAGAAGGAGATCGACAGTCAGAAGAGGCGGAAATGCAAAGATCAACAAGGTGTGCCAAATACGATTTTGCAGAAGAAAAACAACATCGAAGTAAAAAAAAAAAAAAAAAATAAAAAAGAGAGAGAGAAAATCGGATAGAATTAATGCCATGCGCAATGCGCCCTCCCTATTCCTTTCTGACTGGTCGAAAGCGAGAAGAAAGACATGATATTACAAATCAAAAATCTTTATGAAGTATCCTGATATTTACGGTCAGCCATTTCAGTTCATGTCACCTCGACGTTGTCTTCTCTCTCCTTCTTTCCCTCTCTATTTCTCTCTATATATCTACCCCCCTCCCTCTCTCTCTCTCTCTTTCTCTCTCTCTCTCGCTCGCTCTCTCTTGTTTATTTTTTTTTGCTATCATTCTTTTTCTGTATTTTCTTAGAATATTTTAAAGTATTCGCCTCTTTTCCCTTCCATAAACTGTAGATCTCCTTACAACAAATTATTTATTTTTTATATCCGTTTTACTAAGTGTTTTTTTTCTTTTATTTGTCAATGTCCTAACTTTCATGTTTTCCCGCTTTCTTATCTTTCTGTACGTATTTTTTTTCTTTTCTCTTATTGCCTTTCTTTCTTCCCTTTTTCCTCTCTGTATTCCTTTTTTTTTCTTTTATCGTTTGCTTTCTTTTTCTAATCTTCTTTCTTTCTTTCTTTCTTTCTTTCTTGTCTTCATTCTTTCTTTCGTTCTTTTCTTCTTTCTCTTTATTTTATTCGTTGTTCCAGTCATTCTATCTTTCTTTCTTTCTTTCTTTCTTGTCTTCATTCTTTCTTTCGTTCTTTTCTTCTTTCTCTTTATTTTATTCGTTGTTCCAGTCATTCTATCTTTCTTTCTTTCTTTCTTTCTTTCTTTCTTTCTTGTCTTCATTCTTTCTTTCGTTCTTTTCTTCTTTCTCTTTATTTTATTCGTTGTTCCAGTCATTCTATCTTTCTTTCTTTCTTTCTTTCTTTCTTCATTCTTTCTTTCGTTCTTTTCTTCTTTCTCTTTATTTTATTCGTTGTTCCAGTCATTCTATCTTTCTTTCTTTCTTTCTTTCTTCATTCTTTCTTTCGTTCTTTTCTTCTTTCTCTTTATTTTATTCGTTGTTCCAGTCATTCTATCTTTCTTTCTTGCTTGCTTGCTTTCTTTCTTTCTTTCTTTCTTTCTTTCTTTCTTTCTTTCTTTCTTTCTTTCTTTCTTTCTTTCTTGTCTTCATTCTTTCTTTCGTTCTTTTCTTCTTTCTCTTTACTTTTATTCTTTGTTCCAGTCTTTCTATCTTTCTTTCTTTCCTTTATTTTTTCTTCAGTATTTATTTATCCTTTTTTTCATTCTTTCTTTCTTCATGCATCTTTTTTTCACATTGCATCTATCTATCTATCTATCTATCTATCTATCTATCTATCTATCTATCTATCTATCTATCTATGTCTACCTGTCTCTATCAATCTCGAAACTTCATACCTGTCGTATCTGTCTTACTCTATTTTGAGGATTTCTTTCTATTTTTTATTGATTTATGTATCAATATATCTCTCTCAATGTCTTTCCATTGATCCCTAATTGTAACTGAAGTTCTCCTTCTGCCTGATTCTCTTTTTCTCTACTCCTCAACACACTGTCTGTCTGTCTGTCTGTCTATATATCTCTCACTCTCTCTCTCTCTCTCTCTCTCTCTCTCTCTCTTTATATAATTTACTTTCCCTCTGTACAAATATACGCCTGTCTACTGTCTAGTGTGTTTATGGGTGAGGGCCATATATGTGGTATATTTTTATTTTTTCACGGCCTATCGTTTTCTACTATCTGTCTGTCTTTCTCTCTCTCTCTCTCTCTCTCTCTCTCTCTCTATATATATATATATATATATATATATATATATATATATTTCTCTCTGTATATATATATATATATATATATATATAGAGAGAGAGAGAGAGAAAGAGACAGAACGAACAGAGGCAGAGAGAGAGGGGCCATATATATATTTTTATTTTTCAAGGCCGATCGTTTTTTTACTGCTTGTCTATCTTTCTGTCTTTCTCTCCTCTCTCTTTCTCTCTCTCTCTCTCTCTCTCTCTCTCTCTATATATATATATATATATATATATATATATATATATATATATATCATTACTCTCCCGCTCTATACTTATATACGCCTGTCTATTCGTATATTGTGCTAATGGTTGGGAACAATGTTTTTTTTGTCGTTTTCCGCTGGTTGGTTCTCTCTCTCTCTCTCTCTCTCTCTCTCTCTCTCTCTCTCTCTCTCTCTCTCTCTCCTCCCCTAAGAGTCATTTTTCGACACGTCTTTCACTCCTTCCTTCCTTTCTTCCTTCCTTTCTTTCTTTCTTTCTTTCTTTCTTTCTGGTGTCGTTATTTTACAGAACCTTGATAATATTCTAGCCGTTGTGAAGTGACAGATCGAAGTCTTATCGATACTTCTATTCTCTGAATTCCTAAGAGTTTAATTATATCCGACATTGTCTGGCTCAGCAATTAAGTCACCACATCGTGCGTAAAAAAACACTTGACAAGATACTGTAAAACTGTTGCCCGTCAAACGAATACCTGTCGACGTGTTAAGGACACTGTGCAACAAAGACTATTTTTCAACATCACTATCTCCGGCGACTGCAGTATAATAATAATTAATGTGATACTAATAGGATTTTAGATGTGTCTGGCATGTGGCCTCCACAACAATACCGGCAAGAAAAACAACACTAATCATGATAACAACAATAAAGTTAACAAAAATTTGAAGTATCGTCGATGGGAACTTTCGTTTTTATATGTTGACATCCTTTTTCTATTTGAATGTCTAAAGATGAGGAGTTATCATTATTTAAAATGACCTTATTTTTGCTCATATTATGACAACGTTTTGGATGTAGGGATTTCCGACCATCTTCAGGTGTCCGTTGATCTAGGGAAACTTTAGAGAATATCAGACTAACCTTTTCTTCAATCTACAGGGGGTAAATCTTTTTTATTCCCTTGTCTAGGTCTAATCCTCGCCTTATCCTTTTTTTAGCGCTGATCAGTTATTGCTAATCCGCTGATTCAGGTGTAAGTGCTGCCCAGCCCAGGAATTGAACACGCGATTAATATACCACCAAATTCACGTTATAAATATTTAATCCTTTAGGCTATTGTCCGGTGAGTCAATCCTGAAGATAGAACTTTAAACTTAATGTTCTTATTGCTTCTTCAGACGCTTATGATGCCGATGGATCCTTGCTGTGGAGCGTGTTTCCTCTGCCGCTATTTATCTTTCAGTATTCATTAATGGCTACCTTATTGTATTTATATATTTTTTCTTTTAAACTCCAAGATGAATTGTAATTGTTTATTGACATATCTGTCAATAGAAAAACTGAAGATGACTGTTGGAAGATTTTAGAAGAATCGAGAACATGAAGAAGTGTACATTACTAAAATAACGCCATATCGATAAACATCCTTAAGAGGTTAAAATTCCCTAATGTGCTTGATGTTTAAATCATGAGATTCTAATATGAATTAGATTTTTCGGCAATAAACAGCAGATATTCGAGAATAACTTTCTCAAGAAACGTGTGATTCTTTAAACTGTGCAAAGAGGTCGGATACCAAGTTGTCTCGAATTTGATCTTTTGTCGTATGAGTCACTTTGACTTTTGGAATCTTTATCTCTTGTTAATTCCACCCCCACATAGATTTTGCTTTTAAAATATTTCCCTAATCTGTCTGTCTTTATAGGAAACAGCATAACGCAAATGAAGACACAGGATCTGAGAAGAAAGTGACATAAAATGGTGTCAGGAGAAGAAAAGACGCGATTAGTTTCTTATTGAAAGAAATTTTTTGTCGCTTTCTTTCATTTTGTTCCTTTGCGATAAAAAAAAATACATTTGACTGGAAAGAAAAATCATAAAAGAAAAAAAAAACAGAATATTATCTCCCAGAGTTTGCAGCTGATTGTGCTTTAAGTCAGAAACGTGCTACTGATACGGCTGTAAAGCTTATAGACCAAATATGGCGGCTCAGAATGGCGTCACTAATTCTGAAATTTCTTCAACGTGTTAGTTACGGCGGTTAAAAAAAAAACCCCAAAATCTTTCATCTTCAACTTCCCTTTCGTTCACCCATAAATTTTCGGTCATTTGAACATAACCTCAAAAACAAGAGTTGTAACCTGCCTCTTCGTCTTTTAATGGCTTTTGTAATAACTGACATGTTCTGCGACGTCGGAATGAAGAAGTTTAGACTGGATTCAAACCTGATCACCAGGTAATGATGCCAATGATATAGCTTTTTCCATGCAATAATTGAAAATCTAAGGAAGTAACATGAAAAACTTTAATCGCTTAAATAGAGGTAAATTTTATTTTAAACCCAGGCTTTCAGTGCGAATCAACTTTAAGAATAAGCTGAAATCAACTCGTGACATATATCCATTTTTGCTACTTGTAAAATTCTTTCTACGAAAAATAAAATATTGAAACCCCACCCCCACCCTTCTATTTTTATGTTTTTGCCTATCAGTTTATTTATCTTTACCGGGTTCTTCGGTCTTCTTGTTGACAAGATAGTTCGGATTAAGGAAACACCTAATCCGTGGGACATCTGACACCTGTCGAGATTACCTTATCTCCTCTCAATTTAAGTCGTTTCGTTCTTATTAAAGGGTGCCTGAAATGGCAGCCATTTTTTTTCTTTTTATGTCGTCTGTTTTCTTTCATTATCGTTTGATTTTATTTGTTTTTGTTTTTTTACGCTTTCCTTCATCAAATTCTTTGTTTTTTATTTTTGTTATTATCTTTTTTCTTCTTTCTTACGGTTTGATTCTTAGAAATTTATTAAAATAATATATATTTATTTTATTCCATTATCATATTTTCATTATTATTCGTTCATTGAATTATTTTTTATTTTTCTCAGATGTATAATTCATTCGGAAATCATTCATTTTTTTTTTCTTTTTAACTTTTTCCTCCTCTTTCCTTCTCGTTTTTTTTTTTTTTTTTTGACTATTATCATTCCATCTGTCTTTTTTTTTTCTTCCTCTTCTTTTCTTTTTCTCGCTTTAGTAGTATTATTTCGTTTTCATTTTTTTTTTGGGGGGGGGTCTCCATTTTTCTGATTCTTCACTTTTATCCTTTTCTTTCTTTTCTTTCTCTATTTCTGTCATCTTTTCTTTTTTTTCTAATTATTTATTTCGCTGCTTCTTTGCAATCATTTCGTTTCTCCCTTTTTCATCTTTATCTTTTTTTTTTCTCTATTCGTCCTTTCTTCTTTCCTTCATGCTTTTTCTTCCTTCTTCATTCCCCACTTCCGCTTTCATTTCTTTATTTTTTTTCACCCTCGCTCTTTCCTTTCTTTCCTTCTTCATTTTTCTCTTTCTTTTCCTACTTTCGTTGATTCGCTTCCTCAATTCAATATTTCCCTATCGGATGTGGTTTGACCTGGGGAGGGATGTGCACCGCCAGGTCTATTTGTCTAGGACACGATACAACTTGAGGGAATAACTCTCCGGCTTTCCAACCAGATGTGTGGAGTGATTTGGGGTCATGTTGCCCGGCCGCGCAGCGATTTTAGAACTGGAACTGGTCATGGGACTGATAATGATGATAATAATAATAATAATAATAACGACTACGATGATGATGATGATGATGATGACGATTACGATGATGATGACTACGATGACGATGATGATGATGACGACAGTGACAATGATGATAACGACGACGATGATGATGATGATGACGACGACGTAGATAATCATAATAAAGACGACAGCGGCGAAGATGATGATGATGATGATGATGATAATGACGACGACGATGATGATGACGACTACGATAATGATGATGATGACGATGTCAATGACGATGTTGATGATGACGACGAGGATGATGATAAGCAAGAAGCTGCTGCTGCTGGTGATGCTGCTGCTGATGATGATGATAACGAGGACGACGACGATGATGATAATAACGAAGAGGATCACGACGACGATGATAATGACGATGACGACGATGATAATGACGATGAAGACGATGATAATGATGACGACGACGATGATGACGATGATAATGATGACGATGATAATGATGACGACGATGATAATGACGATGACGACGATGATAATGACGACGACGATAATGATGATAATGACGATTTTATATTTTTATTTTTTTATCTTCTTTCTCTGTGTATTTCTTTATCTCCTTCATGAAAATATTTTTTGTCTCAGCTAACATAATTTTTTTTTATTTTTTTCTTTGGCGGCGGGGGCGGGTAGGAGGATTATTATCTTCTTTGAATAGATTCCGTATTCTTTTTTTTATGATTTGTTTATTCACGGCTTGGTTATTTTCAGACCAATTCATAAATGTTACCTATTTTTAAAATCGGTCTAAGAGAAATATATTCGACGTAAGGACATTTACTGTTTTGTATTGCTATTCGCCACTGTTCTCCGTTTCGCTTAATTCCTCCCTTGCTTTCTCACTCTGCTTTCTTTACTTTCTTCTTCTGTTGTCCATTTCTCAATCTAAAACTCTTTCTTGTTTGCAGATTTTATCTCTAGAAATAATTTTTGCTATCATTCTTTATTGCTTAACTTATTTTCACTCTTTTCTAGCTTCTTGCTTATTGAATACACTTGTTTCTCCTTGATTCATTTTCACTTCAATCTATTTCATTTCTGCTTCATTTCCTATCTATTCGTTTCTCTATTCTCC